TCACTTTTGGATTATTTATATGGTGATAGCAATAGGTTTAGTTTAGCCTGTCGATTATCATACAACAGCATCGATATTCCTGAAATCAGCTCAGTTACTGTTCTCTGGACTTTTTCCAAAAGCTCACCGTCATTTTTAAGCAATGGCTAGCCGCTTATATGCAGTAGCCAAGTTTAGGACGCACAATTACTGTATACAAAGTCATAGAAGTTTTGGGTTTCGATATGGCTAAAGGCTCTACGTATTGACGATAGGATTCCAAAACCCTTGGCGGCTATTGCACTGCAGTGTGTGGCAGTTCTCAAGCCTTGGCTAACGATGACTCCTAAGTCATTGTGTGTCTGGAAAACAATGGTCCAATGTTACTCACTGTGTATGCACCTGTACCTCGACGACCAATGTGCATCATAATGCACTTGGAAGTATCCATCGGCAACTGCCAAGTTTGGGACCATTCAGATAATTTCTCCAGGTCATTTTAATGCTTTGAGCCATCGCCTTTACTCTTAATTGCTCTCCATATACTGACATCGTCAGAGTATATCAAGACCGATGGTGATAGGAGACGAGGAAGCTCATTTACGTACAAGAGGAATAACACTAATCCCCGAACTGTACTTTGAGGCAATCCGCTAAGCACAATTTGCCAGCTAGACAACCAAGAGTTCACGAGTACTCTTTGTTGTCGCCCAACTGGGAAGTCCTTCATCCACATTAATAAATTGCTTCCAACCCCGCATTTCTTAACTTATATAACAGTTGGTTGAGGGGAACTTTGTCAGAAGCCTTGCTGAAGTCAATGTGGGCTATATTTACGGGTAAATTTTGGTCTTTCACAGCACATCAGCCTACACGAGCCACTGATAAGTTAGTGAGACATGAATAACTTATTTCAAAGCCAAGTTACTTTTCCGAAAGGATCCGGTTTTTATCGACATAAGAAAACAGCTCCTTCTGAGTAATCTTTTCCAAAATTTTAACAAACGCGCTAGTTAGGCTAATGGGCCGTTAGTTCTTGGGTTTATGTTTCTTATCTGTTTTGAAGACAGGAGTTACTATGGCATTCTTCCAATCTTTTGGTAATCGACTCGTGGTTACGAATACATTAAAACATATGCTTAAGGGGGTCTCAACAAAATTTTCTAGTTTGTTTAGTAACCTAGGGTGCGTTTTATTGGGTTTCGTGTCTCATCAGTGCCCAGCAACCTAAATGTTTATCAAATTCTCCTCTTGCGGAGAACGGTGTGAACCTCCCAACTGAACCACGGAGAGTTTCTCGGATCCCTTGGCGTAGTCTAAGGGATGTGGGGTGTAGTAACTTTTTAGTACAAATTTCGAAATACATTCCGAGCTGTTTCAATTGGGGACTCTGGCTCTATTGCCAAATCCACTGACCGCATCAACTGGTACCTGCCCGAAAGAATATTCTGACAGTTAAGTTCTCAGGTTTTCCCACCTTGTGACCAAGCATTGAGACCGCCTAGCACAACCTCATTTATCTCACAGCTTGGATTGCTGCATAACGAACCAATCAACAGCTCTTGTACCTTGCATTTCAAGCGGCAACTAAATAATTCACATGTCCCACTCTCATAGCATATTCCTAAAGAGTTGAGATACTCCCCCTCTTTTGCGCTTCTGGATTCTGTCGGCTCTTACTAACGTGAAACCTCTAAAATCAAGCTCCACACTGTCTATAGGTTGTGTCAACCAAGTTTCTGTGATTAGCATTACATCCGGCTTAGTAGACTCAATCTGTACACCTAGTTCTGATCGCCTATTGAGGAAGCTTCGGGCATTTGTGTAACATATCCGAAGCACATTCAAATGGCAACCATAGTGACTTCCGTACCATTCTCCATCGAAACTTTACAACTCGAAAATTTACAATTTTTAAGTCATTTTCTCCAGCATCTGACCTAAGTTTTAGTTCTTTTTACACGGTCTGCGAGCGGCAAGTCCTTACGGACAAAAACTTCCGACCCCTTTAGTTTATGTCCATTCTGATGCGTTATCAATATACAGAAGATAAACTGATCTAGACTGGCTAGCGATTGCAGGGGTGTTGAGTACGGCGTTCCCTCTCGTAATCTGGTACGAACGCATGACCGAGCGCCTTCAGCTAGGTGAGTCCATTAAAACTAATGTGGTCAGCACCCAATGTCGAAAACTTACAGAGCTATTTATTTTTGGAATTTATTTACCGCTAAAGTCCTTTTCAAACAGCGCGGCAATGTTAAGTAGTGTGCGCATGCTGTGGAAATAAGTATCATTCACAGAAGTCCTATTACCTTGTGTACTTCTTTCAAACAGGTCTCAAAATTGTCCCGACTGGTAAACGGTCGCGATAACATAATGTCATTGGAGATTAGACTTATATCATGCATCATTGCGATGGTATCACTTTCGTTACTTAAGGGGTGAAAGTTTTCAGACGTAGTGTAGCTGAACTCAAACCTTAAGATATCTCGATCCGACCGCTTCTGCAAGACCTTACTCACTGTCGAGAAGACGCATCAACCATTTTACGACAGTCTGACCTCATCGACGACTTGGGATTGTACGAAAATGTGAGGTCGGCAACGCGTTGGAGAAACAGTCAGACACCATTGCGCTTAGACTGTGTATTCACAAACGAAGAATTTCTAGTTGACAACCTCTCAATCTTGGCTCCCCTGGGAAAAAGCGATCATGCCGTCATAGCCTTCAGTTTTGTCAGAAAAACTAAGCTAAGATACCCCACCAATAACTTGCATTGGAATTTTAAACGGTTGAATGTGCCAGCTCTACGCGACTGTCTACAACAGGTTGTTTGGAATGTTCACCCCCAACTCGATGTGGACGGCCATTGGGACTTCTTACTGCACACGCTCTTATGTGCTACAAACCACTCAGATCCTCAAACGGTTCCCAAAAGCTGCAAGCCACCTACAATAATCAAGAACCGTACCCTTCGCCTGCTAAGCCGCAAAAGGCACTGTTGGGCGGAATACGAACGAACTGACAACGACGAAGCGTACAAGCAATATAAACATCTCAGGAACATATGCACGAAGGCTATAAGAGAAGATAGGCTTCAGTACCAGACAAAGCTTGTGGACAAATTTGCCTCTAATCCTAAAAGCTTATTCCGTCATGCAGCCTCTCTTCGTCAAGCCAAAACAGGAGTTTCTCAACTGCTAGGTCTTAACGGCCCGACCAACAACGATGGCGACGCCGCTAACCTTCTGGCTGAACATTACTCCCAGACATTTCGACCGACCGACACTAACGTTACTGATGACAGTTTCGTTTGCAATTCCATAGGACTTTCCGAAGTGAACCTAAGCGCTGACTTGCTGTTCCGGAAACTGCAGCACTTAAGAGTAGACACTTTTCCCGGCCCGGACATGGTCCATTCCGCCATACTGAGGGAAGCAGCCTCAATCTTGGCAACGCCGCTTAGCGTGATATTCTCACACTCGCTAAGTCGAGGAAAACTACCGGAAAAATGGAGGCTGGCTCACATCACACCAATTTTCAAAGGAGGTCGACTCAGCGAACCTTCAAGTTACCGACCAGTGGCTCTTCTCTCAATACCCTCAAAAATTATGTCCCTGATATGCGATGGTATAAATGACTATTTTCTGTCCTTAAATTTCTTCTCACCCTAACAGCAAGGTTTCAGGAAGGGTTACACTTGTATTACCAACCTGCTGACTGCGGTGGACAGATGGACAAGCATCCTTGATCACAAGGGGAAGATTGATATCATCTACCTAGATTTCTCAAAAGCCTTTGATGAGGTTAACCATACATGTCTTATCAATAAGCTCAAACGATTGGGTATCAGACCACCTCTAATCGATTGACTCATTTCATACCTAAAAAATCGACATTTTAAGGTCAGGGTTAATTTCACTTTACCTCAGGCTATGGAATGTCCTAGTGAGGTCCCACAGGGCTCAGTACTAGGGCCTCTTCTCTTCTTGATCTACATAAATGATCTTCCTCAACAGGTAACGTCAGACTTAGTACTGTTTGCCGACGACGTGAAACTTTGGAGAGAAATACGCAACCAAGACGATATACAGGCACTTCAAGAGGATCTGACTCGACTTCAAAGTTGGACAGACGATAACGGACTTACCTTTAACACTTCAAAGTGTAAAGTAGTCCATCTACGATATGTCGCAGACTACAGTTATAACTTAGGTAACTCCTCTCTAGTAGTATCCCAAGTCGAAAAAGATGTAGGAGTCTTGGTGCCCTACGATTTAAAGTCTTACGCTAACTGTGACAAAAATGTCTTCCGAGCAAACCTTGCACTGGTAACATCGAAGCGCAGTTTTGGCCAGTTTGGCGGAAGAAATTTCCATATAATCTTCAATAGTTTTATCCGTCCCCATTTAGAGTACGGAAACCTAGTATTTCCCCTCTCACTCCAAAAGGATAAGGACACCCTGGAGCGTATCCAACGACGAGCCACGAAATCAGTTCGACGACTCAAATTTAAACCTTACGAAGAGCACCTCCATTCACTTAACCTTTACCCATTAGAGTATAGACGTCTTAGAGGTGACCTTCTGATGGCTTATAGTATCCTTAACACTTCTTGACATCCTCTCAAACACCTACTTAAGCTTAGTTCCAACACTAACCTAAGAGGTAACACCCAAAAACTGGAGACACAACACAGCAGAACGGACTGTAGACACAACTTCTACTCCTTAAGAGTTGTCAAATTCTGGAATTCGCTGCCGGCCGAGCTAGTCCAAGCGACTTCCCAGGAGTCTTTTAAGAGGCAACTTAATCTATTCTTAAGGACTAAGGATAGTATCGCAATATGATTTATTAATTCCTTTTCCTGTTTTATTGTTAACATACCTAGGTTCCTGCCTGGAGGATTTGGTGATCCCCTGCTACTAGACACGGAAGCCTGTTAAGCGAAAGCTTCTTCTATTCCGTCCACAACCATTTGAACCATTTGAACCATTTCAAATGCTTAGTAACCTCCGACAATGGACGATACGACTGAAGCGCTACCTTCCTTATTCGTTGGCGTTGACCTTGTACGCACTTATGGTTTTTTTTCTGTTTAACTTGCTTAATTTTTTTGCTTAATTTTTAGAAAAGCCCTCATGATTTATATAATTTCAGCTATGAAATTTGTGATATAGTGAAAAAATTTTTTCAGGTCGAAACAATCGGTTGCTTAAGCAATAAAAACAGGGGAAAAGAGATAAAGAGGGAATACTGAAGAAAAGCGCCAAAGGTCTCCTTTTTCACCTGCCTTGTTAAAATAACATGAAACTCTAACTCTTTGTCACTCTATTTTCGAAATGTCGCAGAATTGTACACTTCTCGCTTAATCGCACTCCAAATTGCCTACCTTCCTCCTAGCCCCAACTGTCTCCTATGTTCGCATTTATTCCCACTACAAAACACACGACGACTACTACTGAATACATTCAAAAACGGCATATAGGTAAAGACACTCGTCGGCAAGCAGTAACATTGGACGTCAAGTTAAATACTAAAGTACACTTTAATAATAACTCCTTCATTACAATTGTAGTGTTAATATTCCTAATCAAAATAATCTTGTGCATTCTGAAATTTAATAAACGCAAGGATTCACAACAATGTCTAACAGTTATAGTTCGTTAAGCAACTCTCGATCTGAAATATAAATTACGGTTACGTTCGTTAATACTGAACACCACCTGTAGAATGGTAGCGGAAAGCTATAACCATTGAGTAGTACATACATGTTCTTTTTTTTCTCTGAGATACTTTTACAGTTTGTCCCATGTCATGAAAACACCCTTGCGTTCCAATGTCATGCAGTTTAGCAATTCTTTTTCGGTGACGGATGATGATAAGAACTGCGATGTTAGTGCGTCTAATGATTAGAAAAGGGGAAACATATAGTTCTTAAAGCTTATTCTTACCATGCGTTGACTTTTTGACTTTTATGTGATACGTCTGAACTAATGAAGTGTGTGTTGTGAAAGCCTGTTTGATTTCATATGCGATTATGAATTATTCAGTCTTCAGTCTTCAGTAATAAGGATAGTAGGTTGGTGAACCTGTGTTAATCCTGACACATTGCTTTCCAGTGAAGGTCCAGCTTTTCCTTGAAAGTATTCACTGATGGGGCTGATACCACTTGTTCGGGTAAGGCGTTCCAATGATTGACTACTCGATGAGAAAAACGGGATCCCCGTTTAAGTTTATTAGACCGTGGTTTATGAACCTTCTTGCTATGACCTCGGAGATTATTAGTACTGGAGGGAGCAAGAAGATAAGACATATTAACACCCAAATCATAATTAAAGATACGAAATACCAGTATAAGGTCACCTCGTGTCCTACGATACGACAAGGGGAAAAGATTTAGGCGTTTTAAGCGCTCATCGTAAGGGAGACTAGAAAGACCCTTCACTAATTTCGTTCCCACACGCTGGACACGCTCAAGGGAGTTAGTATCCTTTACTAGACACGGGCTAGCTGCTTGGATACAGTACTCTAAATGTGGTCTAACATATGTGGGGTATAAAATTCGAAACGTTTCCTCGTCAAAAGATTTGAACGCTCGGCGAAGTGACCATAACGCACGAAAACCTTTGACAGCGGCTGCTTTGCAATGCGCAGTTGTTTTTAAGTCATGACTTAATATTACTCCTAAGTCCTTATGCTCTTGAACGCATGGAAGAGGTTTACCCTCAATAGTGTAACGGTAACTATTACCGTGACCGACGTGCATTAGTACACTCTTCCTAGCATTAATTTCTAAGCCCCACTCTCGAGCCCATCTAACTAAATCGTCTAAATCAGCTTGAAGATCCATATGATCAGCCGCACTTTTTATTGTTCTCCAGATTTTTACATCATCTGCAAACAATAATGTCGACGACCTAAGTAACAGTGGTAACTCATTAACGTAGAGAAGAAAGAGCAGAGGGCCTAAGATGGTGCCTTGGGGTACACCACTTTTGACCGGCTTCCAATCGGATAGCGTTCCATTGACCCTAACTCCCTGTCTGCGGTCACATAAGAAATTTCCTATCCACTCATGTACAGTACCTGTTATTCCGAAGCTCGTGAGCTTCTGCATAAGACCTACGTGTGAAACCTTGTCAAACGCTTTGCTAAAATCTATGAATATCACGTCGACAGACAGACCGTTATCTAGGGCTGCTGTCCAATCCTCCCTCGCAATAAGCAAGTTAGTCAAGCATGAACGCTTGTTACGAAATCCGTGTTGCTCAGGAGCTAACAGATTGTGTAAATCTATGTGGCTTAGCAACCTAACCCTAATTATCTTTTCAAGTAACTTAACGACTATGCTAGTTAGACTGACAGGCCGGTAGTTAGATACTATCTGTCGCTGACCGTCCTTAAATATAGGACTAACTATAGCGTCCTTCCAATCTCTAGGGAGTTGGGCGAGTGAGAGGGACATGTTGAAGAGTGTCGCAAGCGGTTTCGAAATAATGTCCGCAAGAGATGACAGCAACCGTGGATGTAACCCGTCAGGGCCTGGTATCTTACCAGGTTTGAGGTTAGTTATCAACGGAAGGACAGTTTCCTCAGTCACCTGTACGGATTCAATGGTTGATATCTCGGTGTGAGTGGGACAAGTATTTGTTACAATAAACGTAGAGAAGACTTCGCTAAAATAATCTGAAAAAGTCTCAGCTTTTGCTCGATCTGATTCAGCTAGTAATTCTGAATTTTCGTGTAACAGCAACGGGGGAATACCATCACTACGTTTCATTTGCCGTTTAACATACGAAAACAGTCGTTTCGGACAAGTACGGCTATCATATACTAACTGTCGTTCGTAAGTGGTACGGGATTTCGCTATGGTTTTCTTACAGATATTACGGTATTTTTGATACTCACGCTTAAATGGTGCATGACCTGTCAACAAGAATAAGTCCCAGAAATGTTTCCTACGCTTTAACAGCTTCCGGGTTTCCTTATTAATCCATGGAGGGCAATGTGATAGCTTACGTGCTGACCATGGGATAAACGGCGACGTTACGGACTCGAATGTAGCCTTAAACTTATTCCATTCATCTTCGATCAATCCATCCGCGTCGACCGACCAATCGGTCGAGATAGCACGGTTTCTGATTTCCGGAATATTAGCTCGCCAGATATTGGGACGGGGTGGAGCAGATACGAATTGTATACCATGTGTCCTAAACTTAAAGTGAATTACAACGTGATCACTGTTCACTAGTGGAGGAAGGTGCTGGATATCAAAGACATCCTCAGAGTGGTGGGTAAGGGCGAGGTCCAGCAGTGACGGAACATGATGCAAATCAATATGTGTCGGTTTTGTGATACATTGTACAAGTGCACACTGAATAACGGTAGATAAAAGGTCACTATCGAAACCGCTACCTGGAGCTGTAAGCTCTATCCAGTTGATATGTGGCGCGTTGAAGTCCCCAATGATGAGACAACATTCTGCCATACTCCAAGAACAGATGTGTCTTAGGATAAAGTCGTCAGCCAGACAAGACGGACTACGGTATATTCCCCCTATAGTCACTAACCCATTTCTAGATTTAATCTTACAACATGCAACCTCACATGTGCCGCTGATATGAGCCTCCGATATGGTTGATTGTATACGAAAGTGATCCCTAACGTAAAATATTACACCTCCCCCCTTGCGACTTGAAACTCTATCACTTCTGATACAGATATAACCAGCAATGAAAGGAGAACAGTCTATATCAACGGTGAACCAAGTTTCTGTAACAACGATTATATCGGGACATAATTCTTCCACCATCAGACTTAGCTCGGACGTTTTATTTCTAAGACTACGAGCGTTCGA